CGGCCCGGGGATTTCAGGCCGTGTTGGGTCGCCTACCTTCACGACCAGGTAGACTTAGGGTCTTAGTGGTTTGGGATGACGGGTTTGTGGTACCCCGACCTGACTACCTCTACCTCCTAGTATTACTTTTCCTTGCCTTTTGACTACCCCTATTGAGCCATTTCTGCTCCTTTGACTTCGTTGGTGTCACTTTGACGGCCCGATGCCGATAAGCTGTCGCCTGTTCGGGATATGACGATTTGTCCTCTGCCCTTACGGTCCGGATGTGCTATGACGTATTGAGATAACCCTGTTGAAGTGATTCATGGTTATTTCGTAGGTTTCGTGAGTTGAGAAGCCGCTACCCATTCAGGGATGTCAGAGACTCATTCTCTGCCCGATTGTTTATCGTGAGCTTCAAAGCATCGAGACTATTCTATACGAAATAATCACCTTTTGATAACCTATACCCCATGTTCATAGTGATAAAGCGAAACTCCATGTTCATAGAAATAATCATCGAGACTATTACTACCCATTCAGCATGGTAATGTCGCTTCTTTTGATGCTGCCCAGCCCGAGCATATCTCCTCTGATTCACACTTGCAGTCCTTGGTTGATGCTAAGGTCAAGGCTGCATTGGTAGCACAGCGAGGTGAGACTGTTGTGCGAAGGGGAAGACCTTATCCCGAGGCATATGAATATGTTTCATACCCTCCGGGATTTGTTCCCCCTCGTTTCAAAAGGTTTGAGGGCTTTGGCAATCCTCGCCAACATATAGCCCAGTTTAGAGCACTTTGTTGCAATGTTGGCAACAACGACGCCCTCTTACTTCGACTCTTTGTTACTAGTTTGACAGAGTTTGCTTTTGAATGATATGCCGATTTACTTAATGACTCATTCAAGACCTTCACCGAACTGGAAGATGCATTTGTCAAACCCTTTGCAGGAGCACATCATCGAGTCACTTTGAATGATTTGTTGTTGGCCCAACAGGGTCCTGCCGAGTTTTTGTTGGAGTTCACCATTCGTTGGCGCAACTTGAGTTTGCAGTGTGAACCCCAGTTGCAAGAACAACATGCGGTTGCATTCCTTATGGGCAAAATAACAGGCCCTATTTCCGTCTTGCTAAAGATGAGTACGATCAAAACATTCAAAAATTTGATCGAAAAAGTGGCTAGTTTGCAAGACACCGCAGATGCCTTGATCTTCAAAGATACTGAAAAGGCTAGAGGCAAAAGGCCTATTGTGGGTCTTTCTAGAAGAAAGGAAGAGAGCATCGCTCTTGCGACATCTGATGGGAAAAAAAAAAGCCTATCATGTCTGCCGAGCAAACTGGCCCATCTCTTCAGAAAGGGAAATCCCAGTAACTTGAACAGAGGAAGTATAAGGTCTATCCTTTTAGGAATGATTGTCTTAGGAAGATGCTCAAGAACCTGCTTAAGCAGGGAATGCAGCTCCCACCGCCAAAGAAACCTCACGAGATGGAGAGGACGAAGGAGCCTGACTATTGCCCATACCATAGGCATCTAGGGCATGTCCTGGAAGACTGTTATCCTTTCAAGGATTGGCTTGAGGCCCGGTATAATGCTTTCGTGGGCCTCATGTGCTGATAAGCTGCTATCCATTCCGGGATGTCAGAGACTCATTCTCTGCCCGATTGTTTAGCGTGAGCTTTGAATCATTGAGACTGTTCCCATACGGAATAACCTTCCTTTGGTTGCATATACCTCAGGTTTATGATAATATGAAGCGAAACTCCTTTTATCGAGAGTATTCTTGGGTATCCCCCAAGATGTAATTAACCAGTAGGAACACGTTCCTCTGGGAGTGCTTTTGACCCCAGAACATGTACATACACCTGACTCTCTGGTTATGGGTAGTCTATGTAGATACTTCTTTCGCGGATATTGGTTTAAGTTGCCTCCGCCTGATCTTGTTTGGGCGGACATTCCTTAACATATCATTGCGAGGTTTATCGCACGTAGACTCTCCACGTTTTACTTTTTCTCTTGTTTGTCTCTTTGTCGTATGTCCCTTCTTATTCGATTCCTTTCCTCTTCAAATCATTTATATGGTTCAGGAGGGAGATTTATTCGAATGGGGGAAGTATATGACGATCGATAAGCTGGCGACTCCTTTTAAAAAAAAGAGAGAAAATTAAAACGGAAAACAAAGATCCTCTTTCTGATAACTTCCCTAGGCGGGTGCCCCCGACTGAAATTTTCCAATAAGAGTAAACTTGAATTTCTCCGCCAGGGTTGAAAATTCTAAGTTAGAGAAAAAGATTGCTGCTTTCCCACTTTCATACTTCCCTTCTTAACAAAAGGGCAATCACCTATACCATCGCGACAATCCTTATGGCATGAGTGGAAGACAATCGCGGACTCCACCTGAGGGTTACCCACCACGTGGGCAAATGAGGCTTTGTCTGGTTAAACCAAAAAAGAAGGAAACGTCATCATAACAGAGAGATCTGTCGAGGTTCACCTGCTGCGAGGTCCCCGACACTAAGACGAAACGAAGCAGGAGAATCTGTCGGGCAGGATGCAGTGTGAGCAGAATTTGCGACAGACGCCGACGCCTCCTACTGCAAAGTCCCGTTGTTGGCGGCGAAACAGGCAGACGCGAGAGTGCAAAGCAGGCGACGGAGAAGACGCAGACATAAGTCACACATTCGACGCAGACGCAGATGCAAACATGCGAAGCAAACGACGCACGTTTGCGAGAAGCAGATGCGAGCTGCAATCAACGTCGAAGCATAAGACGCGAGCCGACGATGACGGAGAAGACACAGCGAGGAGAAGGCGCAGCTAGGATTTGATGCGAAACGCCGTAATAATTGGTAGGGTTTGCCATAAGTCGAAACCCTAGCAGAGCCGATAGCGAGAGAAGACGACACCAACGTGTCATTATATATATACATATACATATATATATATATATATATAGCACTAACCAAAGATGGATAGAAAAACCTTCCCCAACGCAGTCACCAGAAATCTATGGGTTCTGAAAAATTCAAAAATACCTTGGCCGCCCTAAAAAATGAAAATAGAGGTGGAATGAGAGTTTACCGCGATGAATGTAATAATGTACTTATTATTGTTACTTTTGTTGAGTGATACATGAGGTTCACTCTATTAACAAATATTATGCTGCCCTTTTCCTCCATTATCCTTCACATCAATTCTATATTCCTACCTTATTGTTGAATACTTTGTAGAGGGCTGATGAGGTATCAATAAGACAGATCGATATAGCACTTAAAAGAATGAAAGTGGAATGCTTTACAAATCCAACACAAATAGTTGGTACAATTGCCTGACTTGCTTAACCAAGGAAATTGGCCTTACTTGAATAGGAACTTTGAACAATTGCCTCGGAATAAGTTCCTTAAGTTTCAAAGTCAAAGCTCTGCCTACAGCATATGCCTGAGAATAATAAAAACTATGCCGGATAAGTTGATGGGATAAAAAACTAACAAGGTATACAAATTGTAAACTAATAATTACATCATTTCACAAGCAGAGAAAAAACAGTTTATTCCATGTGAAAGCAGACAAACATATTTTGAGTAGATGTTTTTTTTTAAAATGATGATATGCATATAAAAGACATAGAAATTTGCTTTTATTATAGCCTTAAGTGATAAATACATATTTCTTCTTGCAAGATACACTATGCGGTCTGCAAAAGAGTTCGATTTCCAACGAGAGTGCAATACAGTGGAAAAACAGAAAACAAGTTGAGAGGAAAAGAAAATAAGAATGAAAGAGAAGAAAAAGAGTTGGTGGAACAAAGAGACAAGGCAAAGAAATTTATACACCATTAGAGATAATGAACAACATAACATTACATAAGCTTGAAAACACTCAAAAGGATAGCTTATAATTATTTAAAAAGGAGGTGTACTTGATTTAAAATGTAAAAAACAAATTTAATGATTTACTGCTAAACCAACAAAGCATTTTCTAGAATACCTTATCTTTGTGAACAATTGTAGCTAATGGCTCAACAGGTTCACCATTGATCCGAATATCTAGCTTTACCAAATCACTTTCCATATACCTGCAAGTATATCAATTGCATGGTAGGTGAGCCTCATTTGACAGCTAGAGTACCAGCTGAACTCACATGAAAATGCCAGACAAGCATCTAATAACAGAAATGCCAAATTATACGTATTGTATTCTAGAAACGTAAAATCCAACTTTGATGTGCTGATACAAAGTGCTGCCAAGAATCAAGAGGCACTGGACAACAAGTATTAAACTCCAATTATGGCTTTATAGAACACAACAAGGAAAGGGAATCCTGATAAATTAAAAAAAAAACGAGTGCAGGAAAAAGGTGACAGTATATGTGTTTTTTTTTTAACGTGTAGAGGCATCACAGTACACATGCGGCAATAAAATGGCATAGACAACCTAAATTCATGTGAGATACCTACTATTATTGATAGTGTTAAGGGCGATTAACAAATTTTGGTTGTCAAATCAATAATGAAAATTTGAATATTAAGAGAATGTAAAATGATTTTAGTATTTTGGTGTCATTAGTTTAGAAAAAATGTCATATTAAGTACTGTATTAATTACAGTAGAAATAACTTATGATTACTACAATAAAGCATTTTGAGAGAAAACAGAGCATGAGCTAAGAAAATAAATCAAAATAAGAGAATTAATTTGTTTTTATAATAAAAGGATTGAAATAAATTACTTCTAAGGATGTTAATAGAAATATATAAAGAGCAAAAAAAGGAATCTTAACATGATGCTTATTAACCTTGAAAATGCATATGATTTGAAGCGGGAGCGACAACTACCTCAGGGGATCGTAGATCCCGCCATCTTGTTGGCGACATTTCCGCGATATTGTGGAAATAGGGACTTCCACGATTACAAAGAGACAAAAAGAGCAGTTTTTGTTGTAGAAAATCGGTTTGGAGAGAAAAAATTCTCTTAATATGCCCAATCTTCTTGCAATAACCACATGTGGGATGATTCTTCTGGTGCTTTGAGTCATGAGAGGAGTTATGAGTGTAAAAGGCGGAGCTGTGGAAATAGGGATTTCCACGATCACAGAGAGACAAAAAGAGCAGTTTTCGTTGTAGAAAATAGGTTTGGAGAGAAAATTCTCTTAATATGCCCAATCTTCTTGCATATGCCCAATCTTCTTGCAATAACTAACCACATGTGGGACGATTCTTCTTGTGCTTTGAGTCATGGGAGGAGTTATGAGTGTAAAAGGCGGAGCTTTCAATACTTGGTGAACCCATTTTCGGTCAGCACCAGCTTTTTTCTGCTCTTTCTCTCCTGACTTCAGCAAAGGCTTCACAGGTAGATAGAAGGGGCTTTGTTCCCATGTTCCTCCCTCTCACATTTATTCAATTCCTGAGTTAGTCCTTGACGTGGAGCTACCCATACGCGCAACTGACACAGGGCTTCCCCCGTACCTGCATCAAGTCTTACCGTTACGGGTTAACTGGCTCAAGCAAGGGTGGCTGAATTGGTTAGCAAAGCTCGATTGGACCAGCGTCACATATTAAAGCACAATCCCGCCTCAGCACCCTGCTCCGCCTACGTCTTACCATACTAGGATTGTCACTGCCTTTCATGGTTGCTGCACAAGGGGAGGGTCCTCTCCCTTCCTATTTTGTCTCTCCTATATATGTATGTTTGCTGCCTGATGGTTTTCAGTTCTTGTTGTATTTACCTTCAATTAACTTGTGCGGAATCCTTTTCTCTGTTCTAGGGTTGTATCCAAGGAGGTTGCGGTGCTCCGACTGTATCCTACTCAGATGTAATGATTGTATCTCTCATTTTATCTTCGCTAAACCTTCCCTTCCCTTCCCCCTTAGCCGCCGACCACTCCGATCTTTCCCCAACCGACTCCAGCCCACTTTCCAGCCGACCAACCTACTGTCCAACCCCACATCCAACTATTTTGTTGGCAAACCTGCCGCCCAACACTCCCTCCTTGTTGTTGCCACCCCCGCTAGCCATCCCGATCCACCTAGCCAACCTCTACTTCACTTGGAATGCACTTTCGAGGCGTTTTTTGTGTTGTTTTAATGTTTTGGTGATGTTAGTTCAGTTCGTGTGTGTTCTAACTCTATTTCCTTATTAATTAAAGTTGTTTTTGTGGTTTGAGCATTCTCCTCCAGTATTATTTGGTATCAAAGCTAGGCTAACCCTACTCCCATCCTAGGGTGTCTTAGCATCCCCCTCCCCCCCAATCACCCAAGCCACCTCACAAAACTTTTGTTCTTTCGTATTCCCAACCATAGCCAAAAAACCTTGATCTAACCTTCAATTCCTCTTACTATTATTCAAAATCAGCAACTCTAAATTAAATTTTTAATCCTCTCTCACCTCCCAACTCTAAACCTTAGCCATGCCTCTAAGGAGAAACATGCTCGAGCCTTCCTGGGAAGACATACGACGAGAGATCAGCCGACTTTGCCGGTTGATTACAAACATGAATGATGAAATCCAATGGGAGGCTATCATCGACCGTGATTTGAAAGGTCGAAGAAGAGTGAGAAGACATGAAGATGAATTGGGAAACACAATGCCAGTTTCTACCAACTTACTACCGTCAGAAGTTGCAGACTTTGCATTCCGAAGTGGAAAGACCGCAACACCAAGCGAACCTTGGATACTATCCAACAAAATCTAGCCGCGAGTTTGTCACAGCTAGACAATATTGCAAGTGTCACGGATTTGGACATGTAGAAGCAGAATGCACAACCAGAGGAGTGATCTACTTCACCGAGCAGGGCGTCATCGAAAAGTTGGGTAAGGGCGCCGCAGATACTGGGGAGCAATTTAGACGAGAATTTTCTTTCGACGACACCTTCCCCAGTGGAACTCCCTTGTTTGTGGATGCATCTAATGTCTTTCTTCCATATGATCAAAAGAAACATGCACATTGTGATGAGATTTTAGTTTCTGCTCTCCTAAAGGAGGGAGAACTTTTTGTTGAGACATACAAAGGTCACAGAGATCAGAAGATGTCAGAACTTAAAATGTTAGTGGGTGGCCTTAGTGACGGTCAACTGATAACACCACAAGAAGCTACACTTCCAGCCCCCACCCCCAGTGTTCCACAAGTATGAAGCTCTTGTTATTGGAACACAACCGGAAGATAATAAGAATCAACCAACAACCAAACACTTGCAAACATTCGACCTTGTTGAGGCCCAACTCTTCATAGATGAGAAGCATATGAGGTATTTAATTATTTGAAACTTAACTTAGGTGAACTTAGATAGTGGTGTACCCCTGACTCAAATTATACCAAACCAAAACTAATCGATAGGGAGGTATGCTCACAAGTAGGAAAATTTGTTCAAATGCTTTAGAAGCCAGGGTAATTGTCAGTGAGATCCAGAAACGAGCGACAAGAACCAGAAGCTTTAACGGATGAAGTCGAAACTCTTTCAACCCCGGGAGATAGATGCGGGGCTTCCCCCATACACGCGATTAACACGAGGTTTCCCCTGTACTCGCGACAAGTCTTGTTGCTGCGGGTGAACCGCCTCAAGCAAGGGGCCGCTGAATTGATCCAAGCAAGGCCCGATTGAACCAACGTCGCACATTAAAGCCTGATCCCGCCTCAGCACCCTGCTCCGCTAACGTCTTGCCATACTCGGATTATCACTAAAGCTCCCTCTTGCCTTTCCGGGTTGCTGCCCAAGGGGAGGGCCTTCTCCCTTCCTAGTTTATCTATCTCCTATTTAAATGTATGTTTGTTGCCCTAGGGTTTTCAGATCTTGCTGTGTTTAACTTCAGAGTTTTTGTGTGGAATCATTTTCCTTGTTCTAGGGTTGTATCCAAAGAGGTGGTGGTGCTCCTGCTATATCGTACTCCGAGGTAGTGATTGTATATCTCCTTTTATCTTCCAAAACCTTCCCTTCCCTTTCCCCTTAGCCGTCGGCCACTTCGATCCTTCCCAAACAGCCTCCAGCCCACTTTCCAGCCGACAAACCTGCTGTCCAACTCCTCCAAGCCTGATGTCCAGCCCCCCAACCCGTTGTTCTGCAGCCAAACCTGCCGCCTAACACTCCCTCCTTGTTGTCGCACCCCGCTAGCCATCTAGATCCACCCAGCACATCTCCACCGCCCTTGGGATGCACTTTCAAGGTGTATGTTGTGCCGTTTTAATATTTTGGTGATGTTCTTTCAATTTGTGTGGGTTGCAACCCTATTTCTCAATTAATAAAAATTGTTCTTGTGGTTTGGGCATTCTCCTATGGTATTAGTTCTACTAGAAATTTGATGGTTCTCTTCTTCTTGATAATAGATTTAAACATAACAACATCATGTGGACATTTCCACATGTGTCTCAAATATACCCGATTGTAGCTATACTTTGTCAAGATGTTGAAGTATTAGGTGACACTTAGTTCTCCTTAAAAAAAGCCATAAAGTTTAATTTTGATCACAAACAACTCTGCACTATTTTTAGTGTTGGAATATGTTTCTTTTACACTCTCCTAGATTTCTTTGGCGATTTTATACAGCATAAAATTTTCTCCCACCTAAGTGGTCATTGGATTGACTAGCCAAGACATAGGATATTTGGTGCAACTGCAGGTTCTCAGCTTTTCAGCTGCAGCTGCGTTGCCGTAGGAAGCTACTGCGAGGAAGTTTGTAGGGAAGCAGGCTGCCTGTTTGTTGCGGCTATGTGAAAACAGCTGTGGGATAGCTGTTTCTGGAAAACCGACTATTCTGCCCCTGTTTAGTAAAGTTGTTTAAAACATAATTATAATAGCAACATATTTGATACTTCAAAAGCAAAAATTTATTTTTGATACTTCAAAAGCAACAAAAGCAAAAATTTATTTCAAAACAGAACAAAAGTTCAGATACATTACTCACTTAACAGTGAGTACCGAAAGTGCTTAAGAAAAAGAAAAAGAAAAAAAATAAAATTATAAGTAAAATAATGATAATATTATTTTTAATATGAAGTTGAATTCACCATTATCTGATCCACCCTTTTCACTTATGAGGTAAGATGCTACAGGATTACTGTTGTAAATTTGTTTGAATTATTTCA